CACGCTTTCGTGGTGCGGTTCGGGGGGCCGATACTTTGGCCTTTGGAATTAGCCCAGCGATCGCCTCCCTAATTTACGGGACCCGTGACAATTACTCTGGCGTCCGCGACAGGATTTTTTGGGGCACAGTGTGTCCAAAGTAGTGAGAAAGAGCCTCGAGTTGTTGATAGTGCTATCTGAACGATTTTGTGTGTTGTTCAGTGTTCTCGTTAACGAGTGCAGGGGAGTGTTCCGATAGACTGATTTAGGCAGATACTTTTCACACGCAACAAGACTTCATTTGCGAGACACAATGGATCTCGAAAAGTTAGTAGCTTTTGGTGAGAAGATGGGTCTTTCTGGCGCCGAACTACGGAAGTGGGTAAGCCAGAAGGAGAAAGAGGCAGTGGAGAGAGAGAGAGGTTGGCAGCTGAGAGAGCCAAGGAAGAAAAAGCAGCTGAGTTAGAACGAGAGAGGTTGGCAGCTGAAAGAGCGAAGGAAGAAAGAGAGCAACAATTGAAGTTGGAGTTGGAGGGAGATAAGCTGGCAGCTGAAAGGGCGAAAGAAGAAAGAGAGGCAAAGGAGCGACAGCTGAAAGAAGAAAGAGAGCAGCAATTGAAGTTGGAGCCCGAGAGAGAGAAGTTGGCAGCCGAAAGGGCGAGAGAAGAGAAGCGGAAATGGCTGAAAGGGAACGGCAGCGGCAGCACGAGATGGAACTCGAGCGGCTCCGTTTGCAACAGCGAAGTGAAACTCCCGTCCAAGCTAGAGTTGAAAGCAGCGAACGGGAAGGTCATGGCTTCCGCTTGAACCCAAGCAAGCTGCTCGTCGCGTTTGATGAAAGCAAGGACGACCTTGACGCGTACCTTCACAGATTTGAGACGATTGCACGGAGACAGAATTGGCCGGAACATCAATGGGCAACTGCTTTGAGTACTTGCTTGAGTGGTGAAGCGCTCAGTGTGTACGGTAGGCTGACGCCGACCGATGCAGCCAACTATGCAAAGGTGAAAGCTGCTTTGCTGAAGCGATTTAGATTTACTGTGGAAGGATTCCGGGACAGATTTCGGACAGGAAAGCCAGCTGATGGTGAGACGGCTACGCAGTGTGCCGCCCGACTTTGCCATTATTTCGACAGATGTATTGAACTTTCAGGGACAGCGCAAGAGTACGATGAGCTTAGAGAGCTCCTAATTAGAGAACAATTTCTTACTAGTTGCCACCCAGGCCTGTCGCTGTACTTGAAAGAGAGGAGAGCTAAATCACTTGAAGACATGCTTGAATTGGCTGATCAATTCTTGGAAGCGCAAGGTCGAACTAATTTGGCCAAGGTCAAGAAGGAGTGTCCCGAAGATTCGAAAAATTCGGCACCCGAACAAAAGAAGCGTGCACCGGAGAGTGTTCCGCGATGTTTTCTGTGTAACCGAGTGGATCATCGCGCGAACAGCTGTCGAACGACCTTTACGAGCCCTACGGTCGTAAAATGTTTCAAGTGTGGTCAGACTGGGCACAAAGCAGACGCATGTCGAAACGGAGCGAGTCAAACTCACCAGGTATCCTGTGTGCTAGCAGCACCGAAATCCGATGATAATGCCATCACCGACGGATTTGTAGAGTTGAAAAATGGGAAGAAACTTCCTATTGTGGGTGCTGTAATGACAAAACAGCCAACCGGTGTTACGAAGGGAATGCCAACGCTGCCTGGAAAAGTTGCGGGCAAGAAGATTACGTTGTTAAGAAACACCGGTAGCTCCACAGTTATCGTGCAGAGAAATTATGTACGGGAAAGTGAGTTAACAGGCCAAACGAAACCAGTGTGTCTAATTGACTGTACGGTTCGGATGCTTCCCGAAGCAGAGATTGAGGTTGAAACCCCGTACTTCAGCGGGAAGGTTACTGCTCTATGCATGACGACCCCCCTGTACGACCTCGTCATCGGAAACATCGACGGGGCGCGAGGGCCGAATGATCCAGAATGTTTGGGAGAATACTTTAAGATAGAGCCCTCGCCAACGCAGCGAACGCGAGATACAGTTGAGGAGCATCCCGTGACGGATCTCACTCGAACCCAAGGTGAAGCCGCGGTGCAAGAGACAGTGAATGAGAAGATGATCGTGTTGAATGAGTTCACGTGCTGGGCAGCCGGACTTACGTCGGCTCGACCTCAACCGACCGACAGTGTAAAGGTGACGGAGTCGGCCAGCCAGGCCCATTGTCGTGACATGAACAAGTGGGGGACAGGACCGGTTGAACGTTCTGACCCGTTAACGGTGTCGGAAGTAACAACGATGGCTGAGACGCCGCCTCAGCTACCGTCGTTGGAAGGGGCTCGCCGGAACAAAACGAGCAAAAACAATAAGAAGAGATCGAGAGAGCATCGCAAAAAAAGGGCGCAAGCGCCACTCGAAATGCACCGGATAGGTGTCGAAGTCGATTTGGAATGTGTTTGACAGTGCTATATGTTAAGGTAATGTGATTGTTTTCCTGTGCCACAACTGTATGTCGAGTGAGTCAAAATGTTTGTTACGGTGATGTGATGTATAGTAATGATGTGAGTATAGTAATTGTCGTAATGAGAGAACTTTGTACATTTGTATTGTCTGGAATAAGTGATGGAGTGTTGTACTCATGTACCTGTGGTTATATTTCATGTGTGTGAGATTGAATTACAATGGACAATTGAATAGAGTGATCTATTGTGAATGTGACGTGTCATGAGCAACGGACTATGTTCCAGTCTTTAAGTGTGTGGGGACTGTTCGCGCTCGTTTGTGTGGGTTTGAATATTATGAGATAATATTCTTAAAGTGGGGGGCAGTGTCACAGAACGAGCGCTCCAAAAAAGGGCGCGTCGCCAAATTCTCGCGACAAAACGCCGGAGTGACGCCGCGAGGTCAATGATAAAAGAAAACAAGCTCCCCGGGCACGTTCCCTCTCCCCTCGGAAGCGTGGCTTCGCCGACGAACCTCCTCACCCCACATCGGCGGCCGAGCAAGCACTCGAAATTTCTCGATGGAAAGAGGCGTGGTGATGCCGGGTTGAGTCATCCGTCGCGGACGGCCCTCGTATCATCTCGACCTTTCCCCCAGCCTTCACTGCGCATCGCGCCGACGAAATGATGAGAACCTTCTGGAATCTCGCGCGGAAGGTTTTTAATCGAGCAGCCGAGACGAGAGATCAGGAGAAGACGAAAGTTAGCGCCAGAGCGCGTAGGGTATACCGCCGTGTAGTCGGCGAAGGTTTTGTCCGTAGAGACAAAGCAGGAGAAGAAGATGATTTCCACCTGAGGGGTGACGACTCGAGCTACAGGCAAGAGTGTGTGTTTACCGCTATCGAGCGAAGACGTGTGGCAACAGCTGCGTGTGTGAAGCCGATGTGTTTCCGACGAAGAAGTTGAAGCTTGGAGAGTGGCCAATTGAAGACGCGAGGTTTCCTGGAAGAGAAACTTCGGGGGCAGTGGAACGACAACAACGCTGGACTTTGAGTGAGTGATTCTCGGAAGAGTATCATACAGACTTTTGTTCCAAGAACTTTGGACTGAATAGGTTTTCTATCTCTTTAGTCTTTAAGTGTCTTGGTTGTTCAATGCATGCGACTGCATTGTAGTGTGTATTGTTGTCTGTGTCCGTCGTTTCGAGTGTGGCTGATTGTACTGTGTAGTACGTTGTTTGATTGGTGACATATTGTATGCAACTATTGTGGAGTGTGCATTCTTGTGTATTGTTTTCGATCTGCCATTATTGAGAATATAATTCTGTTTGTTTATCAACTCTCGGCTCTGACTTGTTCTTTGGGCCACAGCCGGCGTCCGCTGGCGCGCCAAAAAAGACCACTTTTAAATTGTCCACGCTTTCGTGGTGCAGTTCGGGGGGCCGATACTTCGGCCCTTGGAATTAGCCCGGCGATCGCCTCCCTAATTAACGGGACCCGTGACAAAGACACAGTCTCACCATTAGCAGCCTTAAACAGTATTATCAATGTTTTCTGGCTTAAACATACTGTGCCCAGGCACTGAGTGCTTATTACCACCATGAGAATGCTCTATTCTGGGGAATTTTCGCTTCTGAATACGCCTGAGGCGAATCCTTCAGATGTTCTGTTCATGGCCGTTTTGGCAAAAGTGACAGGAATGGCTGTATGTTTTCTGTGGCTTCGAAAGCCATCTGAATCAAAACGACAAATTACTAAAGTAGTATAATCATAAACTGTAAAGAAACAAGGAATCAGTGGAGCTCCAGCAGTAAAATAGAACATTTTGGAAATTCGGCACACTAACCCCTATTCTGTTATATTGTTGTTACTCTTTGTCTTTGCGCAGTTGGGTTGTAAATTCTCAAGTTCTTAACAGAAACGACACAGAGACAGCATGTTTTGTGCTGTTTCACAAAAAATTCTGCGAAGTCAAATGTGCAGAATATTCTCGCTTTGTGAAGTGCGACACTGCGCTGTAACTATGTAATCTCTGCACATAACAGTACTCACTTGATATACGCTCTATGGGCGTGTTGGTAGCTGGTTTTTACTATACTGTCGGCGTCCTAAGTGCAAAGTTTCTCAGGCACAACATTTGAAAACAGGCAAGTAGAATTCTGATCCACCAGCATAGTGGGGCTCGAACCAATTTATAGGGGTCGGATTTCGACATTGATTATCATGCACGAAGTGCCACGGTCTTGCACCGAATATCACGCGGGAGCATATCATGCTTCACGAGTGATAGTACTTAACATAAAGTACTAATAGTAAAGCTGTACTGCCATGCTGAAAATAGAACAAAACAGAAAAGCTTCCACTATATGGAAATACGGCCAACCAAGCGAACGGGCTCGCCGCTTAACCCTTTCGACCCTGGCGGTGTCAATTGACACCACACGAGAAATGGTACCGCCACGCCGAGAAATCGAAACAAAAACTCGCAATTTTTTGCCCAATGTGAAGTCTCGGCCCACCTACTGCCATAGACATCAGTATTTTCGTGTTTTCTCGAGCACCGAATCGACAACGAAGAAGAAGCAGCGGCGACATCATGGCGAACGCGGAGCCGGGTAAGTTCCGATTTTCTGCAATTGTAGCTACGTAATTCTTTTTGGATTATGTGCCCAGTTTTTTGTATGTTGTGCCTTAGTAGTACGTTAGTTGGAAGACGTTTGAGTTTTTTTTTGTTTGCATGTGCAGCATTTTTGCAGTGGCATGCTCTTGTCATGTACGATTTTGACACCATCAGGGCTCAATGGTTGCAAATGGCGGTGTCCGAGCCGATTGTAATGCGTGTTTTTGACGAGCGATATCTGAACGAATGCTTACGCGGTATGTTAATTAACCTGTTTTTTTATGTTTGCAGGTGCAGGTATACCTGTTACTTCGTTGTATTCGTGTCACCGAACCCGTTCCACACGGCTACAAGCAACAACGGAAGCGCTGTTTGAGCAGCTCGACAACGGCAACCTATCCGACGTAGACGGGGAATTCGATGAATCAGACGACGAGAGAGTGTTGCCTTGTGCTCCTGATGAAGATCCAGTGGAGAGCGACACTGACAGCTCCGATGACGAGAGTGCACTGAACACATCTGGTGGCTGGAGACGAAAATTATTCAAGGCGCCAGACTTTTTTTTGACAACTACTTTACGTCCCTGCCACTGCTCCGTGTAATGCTGGGTAAAAAAATATTTGCTGCCGGCACTATAAGATCGGACAGGTGTGAAAAGTGCCCCTTGAAGACTGAAAAAGAACTGAAAAAAAGCGGCCGCGGTTCTTGAGACTGCGTGGTCAGCGCTGATAGAAATATAGCGATAACAAGGTGGATGGATAGCAGGACTGTGACCCTTGCGTCCAACTTTATTGCTATTGAGGACGAAGATAGCGTTCGTCATTAGAACAAAGCGGAAAAGTGTTACGTGGACGTGGAGGGACCAGCAGTCATCAATGCATACAACCACAGCATGGGCGGTGTCGATAAACTAGACTTCCAGATTTCCCTTTATCGGACTACCATTCGCTCCCGAAAGTGGACGTTGAGAATGACGTTTCATATTATGAACCTCGCGGTGGTGAACGCTCGGCTTGAGTACAGACGTGATGCAGACAAACAGAACCGCCCTAAGCAGCTTGACCTGCTCGACTTCACTCAGAGTCATTGAGGGCCTGTCAGCAGCTGGGTCGAAGCCAGTGGCACCTAAGAGGGGAAGGCCTTCACTGTCACCATTGCAGGTTTCAAAACACCCGAGGATGGCAGAAAACAGACATATCGAGGATGTAAGGTTTGATCAGCTGGTACATTTCCCACTTCACGACGAAACGAGGGAAAGATGCAAGATGGAAGGCTGCACAGGAAGAACCCGCCTATAGTGTGAGAAATGCAAGGTTTACCTGTGCATAACAAAGTCGAGAAATTGTTTCGGGGCTTTCCGTATGCGTGTATAACATCTCTTTTTCATCTATTTGATCACTTCGGCGATTTTGAATTGCCCAATGTCTTTTTCAATAAAGCTGCCACATATTTCACTTTGCAACCATTGAGCCCTGATGTACGTTTTTGACACCGTACTTCTATCTCCGTAAGCAGCGACGCCATGAAGTTGAAATTTTATTGAGGTGTTATTTATATTCTGACCATGAAAAAAAATGCATTGAAAAAAATCTGCAACTAAAACAAAAAAGTCAGGGCTGAAAGGGTTAAAGGGGTACTGACACAAAAAATTTGGCCTTGTGTTTTTCGGCTGAAATGCGTTGCTGTAGGGCTGTTAGTCATGACACAACACATTGTTTGCTGCAGCACGTGACATTAAATCAATTGTGGGCCCCTAATTATCAATCAGTTTTGGTTTGAGAGAGTTCCAAAAACTGGGTGCAACTGTCGCCACCTAGCATGTGCAACTATTGACCACGTCAGCACACAGAACTGTGACACACTTCCGCACTATGCACAACAAGAATTACTTTCGAATAGGAAACGGCTCTAGAATGTCGCCAAACACAAAACTTTCTAAGAGTGCGCCACGACTACGCACTCACAACCAGCCACCGAGAAATATAGACTTCGGGAACTAACGCGGCAAAAGAATAATGGCGGCTACGACGTCATCATAACTTGTTTTGTTGGCCGCAGCGTGGTGACGTGAGGAAGTAGGCAGTCACCTCGGGGTCACCTCCGAGTGTGTCTATAGCGCTATGGAGTCGGTTGCTCACGCAAACTTCCCAATTAATTTAAAATAACTTTAAAGCTATATTCGCTGTTGATAGCTTGCAGATGACATACGGATGTTCACGAGAATCGACCCCGCAGGCTGTCTCGGCCCCAAAATTTTGTGTCAGTACCCCTTTAATGCTTCCAATTCAATCGGCTTTTCCGTGGGTATGTTAGCGTTTTCCTGGGTCTATAATAAGTTTGCTGACTTTATGTTGCTCGAAGTTGTGCCTCTTCTGTGAGTGCAGATTGAAGCAGAGTTATCATGCGCAATATTCCCGCAAGGATGTGTTCGTATGCCTGCGCGCTGCGGGAAATAAGACGAGCCAATACTTCCTGCGAGCAGATGACACTCTGCCAGCGCTTTGGCTTCCTGTAATGCTTTGGGCCAGCCTAGGTGGCATGCGCCAATTTCTGGAAAGGTCCATTCTGACGCAGTGCCACTTTAAGGTTTTCACTGACAACTGTTATTTCCGTGAATGCCGAGGACATATACTCTGTAGAAATAAAAAATATAATTTTCAACATCCGTTGTTACTTATGTAGTAGCAAGCAAGAAATACATGGCGAAATTATCAGCTCTGTTTATGAAAATAGGTAGCTTAGGACTATTTTTATAAAAGCAATGTGAGTAAGGGTGATAAAAAATTATGGTATCTATAGTTATTTCTTGTGCATAAAGTTTGCCCTGTGCAAAAACTTCGAGATACAACTGCATTTCATTCATAAAGAACTTCTATGCGTAGCACACAAGCAGCAAAAGTGAAACATTCCTTACTGCAGTCACCTCTGCGTAATAATGTGGTTCCCAACTTTACTTGCTTAAAAAACTTATCCACGAACATTTAAGTGAAAAAAAAAGTACAGCTGCAATATTCTATCTCCATCAAACAATATCAAAAGTGGTTTAAGGCTTATAAGCAATGCTGATGATGATGACAGAGTATATTAATAACCTAGAGTTGGAATCTATAGAAAGATGAAAAATCAGCAGCTATTTAACTATAAGGTTTCAATTTAAGGCTGATTTTTTTTTATGGTTTAAACATGAAATATTGCTTTGGAACAAAAAAGCAACTTGATTTTGGTTTCACCCTGGGAACTTCCATATGAGCAATAGGGAAATGCCCCATCTCATTGTCTGTAAGACATGATATTAAATGTCTGCGCATTAAGGTCTTATCAAAAGCAACGGTGCACGGGTCGACACCAGATGCAATGGTGAATGCATTAGCAATGGCAAAAACGCCACAGTCATAACAGTTCTCTTGACGCTGTACTGCCTTAGTGTGAATGATAAAAGTGTTAGAAGCTAGACTCATTATGTTCTCAACTTGAGTTGCTACACTTGGCATAATGTCCCTGGTCTAACGAATCATACAAAAAACACTGTTGGTAGGGGCACCATAATTTGTCACTGTAACCCAATGCCCAGGAATATGCAGAATTTGAATTAAGTTGTCTCGCTTCTTAAATGTCAAGCTCTCCCCAAGAAGAACATCCTGATAATTGCACAGACCAGAAAACTGACGCGAAATAATAAATTTCCCTGCATTTACAATTGCATCTGACAGCCATCTTGTGCCTCGTAAGGCCACTAAATCAGAGAAACTTATTTTGTACAGGTTGCAATTATTTGGACCACAAATCAGGTCGTCACTAATTTCTTCCACTGTTTTACCAACGACTGTCACAGATGCCTTTTCTTTAAATTGAGAGTTCTTCAAAACATGCAAACGTAGTCTTTTTTCTCCCCGCTTTCTATCATGTGCACATCGCTTACGTGGTCGGCTGCGAGCGGATTTAACTAGAGGTATGCTAAGCGCTGTTAGTTGCTGTGCAAAATTACTAGGCGAAGAGCTAGTATCCGATGTCTTTGCTAGAACCTGACATACCTTATTATCATGCGAGGCTATAGTAAAGTTATTTTCATTTTTTGAATCTGATTTAACTTGACCAGATTGCTCTTTCGATTCCGATTTATCTTCTGTGGAGCCCTTCTTCGTAGTGTCATCATCTACAGACTAGGCCAATAGATAGTCGTTCAGGTCTACACTCCACGAATTACTTACTTCTTCTGACTTTTCTAAGCCTTTTCTTTCCCCACTAACTTGTCCATTACTTTGTGCTATTTTATGAAGTGGTGAATCATACTTCTTATTTCTAGAGTAAGCAACAACATTTTGAAAAAAGTCCTCACACTCGCTCAATTTTTCACAAAGTTCAGTTGCGCTACATTGGGCTAGTACATTAGCAGCTTCCTTTGAAAGTTCCAACAACAGACGTGCATATGCATATTTATATCTGGCCTCTGAGTTATCAAGTTTCGGCTGTACTTTTTTTACCATGCTTGTGGTTAAAATGGTTAAGTTGTCTAGGTGACACCGTCTCGGTCGGTCTTCACAAAATGAGAGTTAAGCCAGCGCTTTGACACACAACTTTCATCGAACAGTTCCATATTATTTTTTTGATCTAGCTGCAAGAATGTGCCTGCAGGGCAGCTGGTACTGCATGTAAAATGTGCATATGCACGTCCTCATATTATTAGTCACTTCATAAAGCTTACTGCTAACAAAAACGGTGCATTTGCCATCAGAGACAACACAGTCTCCTGGATATTTCATAAACAGCCCATATTCTTTACATACCGATTTCCTAGCGTATTCGGTGCATCTTTCTGACACTTCAATGCAAAACTCATCAGCTTTACTGGTGTCAATGCAAGTTCTCATTTCTTTATACTGTGTATGGCTGAGTGCGGGAGCATCATGGGTCACATACTTTATCAGAGCTTTCACTGCTTCCACTAAGTGCATGTCACTTGTTAGATAATTCTTTAACTTTTGATTGTGGCTTTCCAGTTCGATTGTTAGCATTAGTTTCCTAAACTACATGCATTTGCACGATAAGCACGAACCCACATGACCTTGCAACTGTGCCAATTTTTATAAAAGTACTCCAGGACAGCTTCGTCATCTTCAAGTGCTTCTTCCAAGTCCTGCAAGTGCTCTTGATATATATTGTCACGCACCAAGAGTCATAGAAACAAGACAGGAACAGCGGGGCAGAACACCGAGCGTGTATCTTCAAACGAAGCGCTAACCACCCTTCTTCTTCGTTCTCTTTGCCCTTTTTGGCTCGCTAGAGCTTGCCGGCACATGACTCTAGGTGGCATTATTCCACCTCTCATTAGAGCATCGACCCAATGCTCATACATAAGGGGACAGCAAGGCCGATAACGAAAAAAAAAAGAGAGAGAAACGGTACCTATAGTGCACAGGGACATAAGTAGGTGCAAAAAAAATTGTCTGAGGTTAGTCATATGAGAGAAAACCATTAACAGAGTTCACAGTTCATTCGAGACCCAACAAATGTAAAAAAAAAAAACGAAAATGTTTGCTGCCCGAGCACAATAAGGCGAGTATCACTGCGTAATATAAGGTTTTAGGTGAACGACATGCACAATCTCTGTTCGTGATGAGTGGCGCTGGGTCGTTGCCGAGCCTCCGTCTAGAATAACTTCGTAGTTGACCTCGTTCAACCGCCGTAATACTTTATAGGGTCCAAAGTACTTGCTCAGGAAAT